ATTTCGTTTCGGGGGGGGGGGGGGGGGGGCTGGATTTTTTTTCGGGGGGGTTGGGGGGCTGAGTTTTGGGGGGGCTGAGTCTGAGTGAAAGAGGGTCTAGCCTAGCAAACCTTTTGTATCATTACCCCAATACCCCCATGCATATGGGATATATTGAGTATGGTGATCAGATCATGATATGAATAAACATAACAGTTTAAATAATGCACCAATAAGGCCTTTTCGCGAACCACCATGAAAATTTCGGGGGGCGGGAGCCCCCCGAGCCCCCCCCCCCCTGGCTACATGCCTGCTGCAGGACCTGTACATCCTGATTCTGTATCATGCAGGAAGCAATTGAGGCAAGGAGCAGTAAGCCCCCACCCCTCCTCCGAAGTTCAGTTGCTTCCTGAGTGACACAGACTGAGAAAGGAAAGAATTTGTAAAGACAGGATCTTCTGTGTTGTGGAGGGGGGGGGGGTGGCTGGAGGGTAGGATTGCACCCCACAGCCATCCCATGAGGAGTGGGGGATGGCTGTTATCTTGGATTCTGCATGGGAATCCAAAATGGCAATACCACCGCCTCAACACCAGGAAAAGTCCAAATCTTCCTGGATGATTAGGGCATTTCCCAGTGTTTTTTAACCCTGAGGTCAAGCTGGATTGCATGAATTACTCTGAGTTAAATTGCATTAGCCTGTGTGTATCGTGTGGCTGCACCAGGATAATGTGATCCCTACACTGCATGACATGGCAGTATAGATGTTGCTGGGGCCAAATCTACACTGATTTCACAAAGGGATGCTCCAGACCACCTTTCCCCCTTTTGAAATCCAGTCAAATTGAAAGAATACCCAATATGAACTTTAATTCAGTTGCCAAACTATAACTACAGATGAAACTTGCAATGCAAAGAAGAAAACGCAAAATAAACTAGTCAAAGGTGTTCCCAAGAAATTGGTCTTTTGGTCTATTTAGGTAGAAACAGGCATCTGGAACATCCCCCAAAAGGTGTAAAATATCAGATCTCTTTCCTATTGGATGGCAGCGCATTGATGACAAATTCCAATGTCAACTAATTCATGTGCTCTGTCTAGCGGATCAATCAACAAGGTGCATTATAATGTATTCTGAGAAGACACACAATTCCTTGTGTGATATAGAACCCTCCTGCTGTTCGGAGATCACTTCCTGCCTGAACTGAAGACTCAAATAGTTTCATTTTTTGTATTTTGCAATAGTAAAACGTCATTAGGCTGCCATATGTACAACTGAAACAGAATTTTTTCAGTGTCAACTTCAGTAAGTGTGTTAAATGTAATTTTTTTTAAAAAAACACACACACCTAAATTCCGCCTTCTGTGTAATCCCTTTAACTTCATTGCCTTTTTAAACACCATTTTTTAAAAAAAAAAAACAACTTTAATGACAGACCATTTTAACTCTTTGAGAGCAACAGCATAGCAAATATAAAATGTAACTGTTTCTATCAAGTTGTAGAGAATTCCAGCACATCCCAAGTCTGGACTTGATTTGCGGTGGGATTTGTAGTTTGGGATAGAGATGAAAATCCATGCAGCTAGGAGATTTTGACTTTTAAATTTTCTCAAAACGGCCTTTCCAAGCACTATCAACCAAGGTCTACATGTCAAGTTTTTGAATCCTCGAAGGTTTCTAATATTATGGTTGCTAATAAATATCTGAGCTTGAATACATGAGTTTGAAAGATGACATATTAGCATTATTTTAGAAGGAAATTGTTTGTTGTCGTTAATTCTTACTCACAGTTGAAAACTTATTCACATTATGTTTGTCCTACTATGTAATACTTTATGTTCTTTAAATGAAACAAAAACAAAAATTGTTTCAAGTAAGCATGATTAATTCATTCCAAAAATGTAGTGTTGACATTGTTGATGTTAACATGATTATAGCTTAGGCCAGGTGTCCCCAAACTACGGCCCGGGGGCCGGTTCCAGCCCCCGGGGGGCATTTATCCAGCCCTTGGCAGGGCCAGCTGAACCAATAGCAGCCTGGCTGCTGCTCCTCTCCCGCTTGGGGGCTGGGAAGGAAGAGGGAGGCAGAGGCGCGGACGCTGTGAGTGCTGGATCTGAATGGAGGGAGTGAGAAGGCAGGCAAGCTTCCTGCCCCCCCCCCCGTCCCCGGATGCTCCATCTCCGCCTGTAGAGCTCCAGGGTGTATGAGCCGTGGTGCACCATGGCTGGGGCTGCAGGGCTGGCAGGCAGCGGGAGGCGCGTCTGTCTCTCTTCTCCATGCTCCTAGCCTTCGGCCACTCTCCTCTTGCTGCTCCTGTTGCCCCCGGACAGGAGACCAGCAGCAGCAGCAGCCAGGCCAGTAGCAAGGCAGCAAGAGGAGAGCAGCTGAAGGCTAGGAGTGTGGAGAAGAGAGACAGACGCGCCTCCCGCTGCCTGCCAGTGCTGCAGCCCCAGCGATGGCGCACCCTGCCTCGAACACCCTGGAGTTCTACAAACGGAGATGGAGCATCCGGGGGCTGGGGAGGGGCAGGAAGGCCCCTATCTGCTTGCCTGCCTGCCTGCATTCCATCCTTCCCTCCCTCCTTTTGCCTTTCTTTCCCCTTTCCTTCCTTCTATCCTTCTTTCCTTCCATCCTTCCTTCTTTCTGCCTTAATCCCTTCCCTCCCTTCACCTTTCTTGGCTTTTCCATTTCTTCCTTCTTTCCTTCGGCACTTGGCCGCTCCCTCGCTCCACTCAGATTAAGCTCCGCCTCCTCATCCTCGCCCTCTACAGCAGGGGTCCACAAACTTTTTAAACAGAGGGCCAGGTCACATTCCCTCACACTGTTGGCGGGCCAGATTATAATTCGAAAAAATCATGCACACTGCAAATATCTTATTTGTAGGGCAAAAAACATTTTAAAACAATACTTATTAGTATTTCAATGGAAAGTGTGGCCCTGCTTTTGGCTGATGAGATAGGATTGTTGTTGTTATTGTGTGCTTTCAAGTAGTTTCATACTTAGGTTGACCCAGAGCGAGGGCCGGGTAAATGACCTTGGAGGGCCGCATCTGGCCCCCGGGCCTTAGTTTGAGGACCCCTGCTCTACAGCCACCCGTAGCAGCAGCAGGGCAAAGGGGCGACACAAAGGCCAGTATTCCATTTTCAGTATATCAGGATATCAGGTGCCAAATTTGGTAAAGACCCATCATTGTTTGAGTTCACCATGCTCTCTGGATGTAGGTAAACCACAACTCCAAAACTCAAGTCCAATGTCCTTCAATTTACTTCAGAAGACGTTGTTGTTGTTGATTTTTTAATTCTTTTTTGGACTTCCACTCCCACTGCTGGCTGTTAGGAATTGTGGGAGTTGAAGTCCAAAACACAAGGAGGGCCCAAGCTGGCCCAGGCCTGTTTTAAAGAATAGCATTGATGTTTAATTCTATTGTAATGTTTCATATATTTGTAGATTTAAATTGTATTGAAATGTAAGCTGCTTTGGCCCCTTCCACACAGCTGTATAAAATCCACACTTAACTGGCTTATATGGTAGTGTGGACTCTGATAATGCAGTTCAAAGCAGATATTGTGGATTATCTGCCTTGATATTCTGGGTTATATGGCTGTTTGGAAGGGCCCTTTCAGACAGGCCCTATATCCCAGGATCTGATCCTAGGTTTTCTGTTTATCCCAGATTATCTGGCAGTGCAGACTCATATAATCCAGTTTAAAGCAGAAAACCCGGGATCAGATCCTGGGATATAGGGCGTCTGGAAGGGCCCACAGTCTCCTTGTGGAGACAAAAAGTGATGTATAAATAAACATAACAATAAAATTGTAGAACAGAAATCTGTTCCTGATTTGAAAGTGTTATTTTCTGTTTAATTGTGCGGCCCTTACTTTGAAAGTAGTAGTTCTCATCCAGAAACTTTGTGTGGTTGCCACAAACTATCCACCAAACTTCCATGACAAGAGGTCATGGGAGTTTGGCCAATAGGCTGATCAGTAAACATATTCATGGGTTCCTGCTGTTATGGTAAACCTGTTACCCATGCCACAACATGCTTGAAGTCAAAATTTCATTTATTTGTAATTAGAAATAAATGTTTTACAATATATAAAACAAATGTTTCACAATATTCCTGTGTAAACTATAGTCCGGCCCTCCAACAGTCTGAGGGACAGTGAACTGGCCCCCCGTTCAAAAAGTTTGAGGACCCCTGGCTTAGGCCATTTTTTTTAACAAATGGGAAGAATTTTACATTTAAAGTGTTATTTCCAAACCCTGTGGCTGAAACATGCTTCATAACAAAGATAGGTCTTCCATCCAAGTCATATATAATCATATATGCCTTAACGCAGCCTTGCCCTGGGTTAAAACCTGAATCCAACCCAGAATTTGGGTTTTCCCTCAGCTTTAGGGCTGTCAAGACAGCTGGGTCGATTCCTAACCAGAACCAACTACAGTTGTTTTGACTGCCATCCTGCTTTCACTCTTCCCCTTCCCTTGTGCCACAACATGCCCACCGACCTTGCATTTTGGCACTTCAACCAATGCCTGCTTCTTGAGTGGAAGGATAGGGGGCATTTCCGCTCTTCCCCTCCCAGCTTCCTTTGCGAGTAGGTGCTCAGATCAGGGTCAGGTATGCCCACAGGATGGTGTCACTATTGGCAACAACTGTAACAGGGAGAGGAGGGACCCCAAAGGTGTCTACGCAGCAGCACCGAATCATATTCGGCATGGCTTGGCAGTTGAGGCTCCCTGCCGGCTCGAAGGCGGATCGGGGAGTCCCAGTCGGCCCCACATTATCGATCTGTATAGAACCACCTCATGTTGGTCCTTCTTCCACAAGGCTTGTTCGTCCATCTGAAGATTGTGTTTAAGATCCAGTTACGTGAATTTAACACACACAAGTATAAGTGTTGTGGGCCTTTCTCTTTAAGCAACATGTTTTATAAGGGCCTTGGCGTGAAAGGAAGTTCAACTGAGCACACTGTTTATCTGCCTTTTAATAATTGAGTCTTCTTTTCTCTTTGAATCTATAGTGTGACAGTGAGAGCGACATTGATGATAAGGTAAGACCATTTATTTTATTTTCCGCTCTCCCAAAGCCTGCAAATTAACTGATCGAATTAGAGGAAACTCTAAAGATAACCTTTCTACCTGCTTTCACATTGAATTTTGAACTTTTTAACTGCCAGGAATCATAGCAGACAAATGTGTTTTGCTGTGAAACACACAAGATGGCTTGCTGTTGCTAACATACATGTATTTCTTAATTAATGTGAACAGGTCAGAGGAATACTCAAGTATTATACCTGTACTTTCTTTTTTAGAAAGTCTCCTTGATAATTGCTTGAAAGACAATGCTTTTTATAATGACTTTTGAACATGGCAATTATGTAATAATGGATGTAGAAGAGAACAACAAGTAACCATTTTTTTTTTTTGCAGTTGATTCACTCTTAGGGTAAATGTTGCTTTTGTGCATAGGACATTATCACACAGCAGTGATTTTTCTGAACTTTTTGTTTGCTTAGTCATTAGTCATTGGGGGATTACAGTCTTGTGTTTGGGACTGGGGCAGAGAAATGAATATATCAATTCTTGTTTCAACCCAATGACCTCCATGGCATATCTTCGCCTTGGAGGAAAGCTTAATGAATACCACTTAACTCGAAAGCACTCCCACTGACTGTAATGGGACTGCTCTGGTATGTTACATTGTGGATTATAGGTTAAGGTTGTGTTAAAAGTGATCTCATAGTTTCCACATATCCTTTAAGTTCAACAGATATCAGTCTGTTATGACGGCTACATCAACTTTGGTTGTGTTTTTGGATGAGAGTTAGCTTTTCAAAAACACACCTCTTCAAATACAGTTGTGGATACGGAGCAGGTACCAAATGAAGGTTAGTTAGTAGAAAGGACTTAATGGATATTGATATCTGCCAAACAAACAGACAAACAAAAAACCCACTAATTCATGTACATTTATATTAGACTGGAAAAAATAACAGTTCATTCTGGAGTTCATTTAAATATATGTTACATTAAGATACTAAAAGGGTGAGATTGAAATTGAAAAATAATCATACATGATTTTACACACCACCCCCTTTGATTGTCCTCCTTCCAAGTACTAACCAGGCCTGCTCCTCCTCGGTGTCGAAGATCAGAGAACATCTGATGCCTTCAGGGTATTCTTATAGACATTTGGATACATTAAATCACCCACTAGTGAAATTACTAGTGATTTGATACTAGGTTTAGAGCATGTTCACTCCCATTTAAACTGGTTGAATGGTTATAGTTACAGTTATATGGTAACTGTATATGGGACTGTGGCGGTGCAGCGGGTTAAACCACTAAGCTGCAGAACTTGCTGACCAGAAGGTTGGCGGTTCAAATCTGCAGGACAGGGTGAGTTCCCATTGTTAGCCCCAGCTTCTGCCAACCTAGCAGTTTGAAAACATGCAAATGTGAGTAGATCAGTAGGTACCACTTTGACATGAAGTTAACAGCACTCTATATAGTCATGTTGGCCACATGACCTAGAACCTAGGAGGCATCTATGGACAACGCCAAGTCTTCGTCTTAGAAATGGAGATGAGCACCACCCCGTAGAGTCGGACTCAACTAGACTTAATGTCAACGGGATACCTTTACCTATATAGTAACTACAGACTGTGTGTGTGTATGTATGTGTATATATATATATAGAGAGAGAGAGAGAGTAACTGCACTGAACTCCTTAGATTATTCTCAAATTCTTCATTTGGGAAAAATACTTATTATTTTTTTATTTAAACTTATATCCCATCCTTCTAATGAGCTAAAAGTGACAATCGGCTTCTTCCCATTTTATCCTTGGCTGAAAAGAGGGGTACAAGTTCTCGAAATAAATACAAATAAAATAAAACCTGACATGGACCCTTTGAAGTAGACCAGGTTGATCTTTTTTTCCTTTTGGTCTTTACTTTACATGAATGTAAAGTTTGTGTGCAATGTTCTGGAGCCCTCCAGATATTACAGATATCAAGAAATGTCTTTTTTCAGTAGCTTTGATACTGTTGGCAGACATACCATACACATACAACCACATTATGTTGTGTGTTTTCGATTAAACCAAGAATGGGAAGCCTAAAATTTTCAATTCTGTACATTTGTTTGAATTCCAGTTTACATCCTTTAAAGTTTGGCTGTATTTCAGATGAAGTTGGGCTTACTTTAGTTCTACCTTTAAAAGCACAGTTCATTTGAGTAGAACATAAAGTATCTCCAGAATATTTTACCAACTGTAAGTGATACAGATACAAGTTTGAATGTAGGATGGGGAAAAGATTGTGGAATTTTTTTTCTGCTGGGCATTTTGCCTCTCCCAAGGGTTGGTCGTAGTAAAGGTTTAACTAAATGTTGAGATATTAGTGTTTTGAAATACAATTGATCAATGAAGTGAGGAAGCAGAAAAGTGCACATGTAAAAATTTTAAAATTGTGTTGCTATTTGCATTATAGATTTATTTAAATAATTCAACTTGACCTTTGCCAAAAACTGCAAGAGATAAAAGTGCCACAAAAGCAGGATGAGACATGGAAAGGCTACTTTTAAAAAAGCAGACTCTCCCCTCTACATCTGTTAGAAATCAGGGAATGCCTTTCATCCTTTAATTGTCTGCTCTTAAAAGTCACGCTGAATGCTTAAAAGTTGCCCCAAGTGAAAACACAGATGTGATTCAACAGATAAACCATGAGGCAGAGGGCTGGATTAAGCCTGTGCTGTGGCATATGGTGATGCTGGTGGGGGCTTTTATAGTGTTCATTTTTATCTAATCTTTCTCCTAATATAGGGATTCAAGGCATCTAACAATAAACATAAAACAGTGATTTTAAAAAATGTACTAATATATAGATATAAAATTAAAAAACAGTTGAACCATTTGTGTCACTAAAACCAGGAAACATGAAAATATTAAAATGTTTTTAAGCTTCACACCACACCAAAATTCCAACCACACCATTCTTAACAGTGGGAAGGACTATTACTCTATTAGCCACGGCAAAGGAAAAATATGGTTTGTTGGGCTTGAATTTGCAGATTTGAAAGCAGTGTAAAGGACTACAGTGTCCTGCACAAGCATAAATCAGGTGCATTTTCACCAAGCCTAGTGTTTGCAGTGGGGAAAACACCATCATCATTCTGCCCCTCCCCCCCCCCTTGGTGACTTACAACATTTCCTCATTTTCTCTCATTTCAATTCTTTTATGATTTTCTTATTAAAATACTTTCTGAGACTTATCAGCAAACTGCTTGGGTCCTTAGCTATATTAACATGCTCCATACACTTCAACATTTTCCATTGGACATGTGTGGCTACGCAAGATCAACATGTGGTCAAGATGAGAAAAATTATTCATGATGGAGAAAAGATGAGCAAGGAGAGGCTGGCACAGTTTGCATTGGCCTCAGCCTCCAGGAAGTCTATTCCCTCCTCTCATCTCTGCTGAGTTGATTGAGTGCAAACACTTTGAATTAGGTTTCCAGCACTTAAAGTAAGTTGAGGAGAAAGGGAAAAGTTGGAAGAGGAAAAATAAACTAGAACATTTTAAAAGCAGCTGAAAAAGTGGAGCATCAGTCAGTTGGACAGTACGGTACCTGTGTTTTGATGCTATTTCTCAAGTGCATCTGAATTAAGATGGATGCTATCTAAAGACAAGTTTCCACAGTAATACAGCTGTCCTTCCACATTTGTGGTTTTGACATTTATGGATTTGAGTATTCATGAATTTGATTACCTGAGTTCTGGCATGTTTTACTTCATGGTTGCTTCTATGTGACTGAGCAAGGCAGCTTGAGAGATGCATTTTGCTTTGCTTAGTCACATGGCAGCAATCAGGAAGTAAAACAGACTGGAGCTCAGGTAGGTACTGATTTTCTGTCAGGGGAGGGGATTGTGTTCTGGGGGTTAGAATCAGGCTTCAGCATGGCAGGGCTGTTGGGCCACTTTTCCTCCATGGAAGCAGTTGATAGCACCTCTTTGTGACCATAAGCAGCCCTGAACTATCACGTTTCATACTGGTTCGGACCTGTATTGTGTGCCTGGGAGAACCGCCCTATATTCTCCAGTGTGACACTGTGATCAACTTCCTCCAATCGTGTTGGAAGACCTAGAGGTTCCTAGAGAGGTGCTCTTTCTTGAAATTATATGTTCAGCTTCCAGGAGAAATTGATCATAAAGCCATACTGGAAAACTTAGAAATTGCATGAGAGGTGTTTTTCAATTTCACATGAGTCCTGTGTCCCTAACCCCAGTGAATGTGGACGGCTAATTACAATTCTCCTTCATTTGAGTGCCACGCAATGATATTTTCCTTCTCCCAGGCTTTTAAAGGTTTAAGCTGTGGTTCTTTATAATCTGCAGTTTTTAATCTTCCATCACTCTTTGTTTGTTTGTATTATCCCTTTATTGTACTGGATTGTTTAGAACTCTTTATTGTGCAATTGTGCTGGAGACTGCTCTGGCAAGTGCTTGGTTGAAGAAAAATAAAGAATTGTCTAAAATAAATACACTAAATGTTTCTGACAGTGAAAGCACATTGAACATCAATTTTCACAGCAGCAGCTACAAATTCTTCTTAAACGCATGCTGCAGCCATCACCAGTTCGCAGCTTTGGAGGGCAAAAGGATCTTAACCTGGCATCTAAATGGAAAGAGTTGGATGTCTTCAAACTGCCTTAGTGTCTGCTTGATAAAGATGCCCCCAAATAACATTTCTTGTGCCAGCCAAGTGTCTGAACTGTGGAGTTAACACGTATGCAGCAAAGTCCTCTCTTTCTTTATATTGTTATTTACAATGTGCATTTTAGGTTTCTTTCCGCTCCTTCTTGGCTCGTGAGAGCAGAAAGTGACATTATGTGATGAAACAAGCTGGGACTCGGTTCCTTATTATTTCTCTTGTGGGAATTATAGTATTTCTCTCATTTGCCCAATCAAAGATGGCCAAAAAAGCAATCATTTAGAAAAACTACTTAAAAGATCTGCCAGTCAATTGTGAGGCACCGTTGTAAGTGACAT